GACATGATCCCGGTGGAGGTGTGGGGTACTGCCTAGTACCTGAACTCCCTCCCTGTAACTAGGAAATGCCCCCACTTTATTAATCTTCATAGAAGAGACAGCCCATAAAAACCAATAATGCCACATACTCCTACCAGTTACTCTTCTTATCTTACCCAGTAAAATCTGGAGATAGCACAAAGTTGGAACAGTAAAGGTTGGATTCTGGTAGAAGGAGGCAGCATCAACATTAAGTTTCCAAAGGCAAAAGGAGCAGCCATGCTGTAGTCAATTCTAGCCTTCCTCAATTTGCAGCCACACTGTTTGTCACCAGACTGGTTTTATGTCAAGATTTCTAGCTATGTCTTTTCTGCTATCTAGTCTTTCTTATTTCTGACTTTTTAAGGTTACGGCTTCCCAGGAACTGAACTAATCAATATATTATCAACAGTCCCTTTTCTCCTAAATCAGTCAGAATTGCCCTGTTACCTGCAATTAAAAATCCTAAGCATTTAGTAAATATATAACACTAAATAATTGTACTTTATCTAGTTTTTAAGCTGTATTTTGATTGTTCTTTTATGTAATATGTCATTAATATCTTAAGTAACATCTGCTTTACACATAAAGGTTTGTTCTAACAAGAACAAAAACAATTCAAATAAGGTTTCTTTACCTCTTTCAAAAGAAATACAAAGTATAGTAACAAGTCATCTAAGGGTTATCTTCACTGAAGTTCAAAATTAAGTAAGACTTCTTACCTGTCAGGAATACCTAGCCTCTTGACACTTCTGTAAACAGAAAGAGTATTTGCAACATGTCGATAATTAAACCAGAATCGGGATGTACACACCTAAAGTATTAAAACAAATATATGATTTTTATGAGTCGAAGTAAGCCTTGGATTTACAGAATTATTTTTCTTTAGGTATGACATAGAAATGCCTGAAGAAGAATGTCAGGATTAGAAACAAGAAACAGTCAATAAATCATTTCTCTAAAGACAGGCCTTTCACACCATAACAAATACAAAAAGACCATTCAGTTTAAGAGGAAAAAATCTTCAAGGAATTTAATCAAATATTGAACCAACACAGTAACTCTCAATTTCTGCAATTCTATAAGATCCCTATTTGTAAAAGATTAAATTGTTTAGAATCAAAGAAAATGCCCTTAACCTCTTCACAGAATAGAGAAAATTAGCTACTTTAGGTTAAATAATATTTGTTTCACTCTTGATTGCTTCCTTGTGAGACATTGAGGATAAGACTAAAACATACTACACAAAGCAGTTTAAAATATACATAAGAAAATACATAATAAGCCCAATGAACTACTAGAAAATCAGAAATAATTCAACACTTAAAAAAAAGATTAACTAAAAATGATATCAGTGGTTCTAGCAAAATCGTACACTATAACTCAAGAGTTAGTGTCTTAAGAATCCATTATATAGGAGGTAAACAGAGACTAGGGTCAGTTAATAGTGTATCTAAGTGAGCACACTCCTTCTTGTGCTTATACTACATATAATGACAATTTTGAGAATAAGATAAAAGTTCTTGCCTCTGCAAATAAAAAGGAACTATATGATATCTTTTAATTAAAGTGAATTTTCATCCTAGAATCCAATAAAGAAAAGACAACAATTTTTGATCACATAAAAATATAAAACTCCATATGTCAAAAATATCATTAAAATCCTAGCAAATGAAAAACTCAAAAATATAATTTTCGCAATTATAATTTATTAAGAAAAAATGAACAAACTAATTTTCAAAAAGAGGAAAGGATAAGAACAAGCATTTCATATCAAAAGCATTAAAAATGGACAATGAAATTCAAACTTGCTCACTGGATTTCAGCCATTCTTTAAAAAAAAAACAGATTGATAAATATCAAAAACTCTTCTAATGAATATCATTGTCAAGGATGTGAGGAAACAAGTACTCAGAGCTAACTAATGGATATGTAAAAATTAATATAAACCTTTTAAGAAGGTAATCTGTAATATGCATTAGGTTTGAAAATGTACATATCTTTTCATTTAGCTCATGCAAGTATGTAAAAATATGTACTGAAGGCTTTTCACTATAACATTGCCTGTACTAGCAAAACTAAAAACCAAAGAGCTGGAAAACAAATTACTGTCCAAAGAAAGCTAGTAAAAAAGATCCACAGGTTCCCTTATTGAAGCAGAAAAAATATATAAAACAATTTACATCTGAATTAATCATAATAGAAACCAATATTTTCATTGCATTTTATGCATACACAAAAGCTTTTTGCATCTATTATACTGTCTAATAAGCATAAACCTAAAAAAACTACCCTCTTTTTCACATCCAATTTATTAGACAGAAAATTAAGATGGGAAAATGGAAAGGACAAGGAAAATACTAACTAATATAAATTGTCAAATATTCACTGAATGGAATTTTTTTTAAAAGCAAGGGCATATGGTAAAGTCATTTAGAAGACCAATAGTTTTTTTATAAAGAGAGGACAGATGGGCACGGTGCAGTTCAGGAGGCTGAAGCAGGAGGCTCACAAGTTCAAAGTCAGCCTTAGCAATTTAGTGAGACCCTAAGCAATTTAACAACATCCTGGGTCAAATTAAAAATTTTTAAAAAGGGCTAGGGATGTGGCTCAGTGGTTAAGCACCCCTGGGTTCAAGCCCCTATATCCAAAATAAAAGAGAGGGAGAGAGAAAGAAAGAAGTGTAGATGCAAACATGATTATACACACTGGAAATTTCTGAAAGGATATACAAGAAACAATTTATAGTGATTACCACTAGAAAATAAAGATGGTCAAAAGGGGTGAAATAATTTTTCAGTTTATACCTTTTCTCACTATACTTTCTTCCCATGAATATGGATTATCTTTACAATACTTTTTAAACAGAGTCAAAAATGTTTATGCAAAACAAATTAGAAACCAAAATGAAATCCAACTTTCCTTCTATCTCCCTCTTGTGGCAAAAGTTCCTCAGTTATTTTACAAGAGTAAAATCTGATCATTGAGCCAATACTAACTTCCAATTAATCCAAACTGGGCGGGGGGGGGGAGAGTGTTAGATTTTTTTTTTTTTAACTATAAACAATGTAACATTGAAAGAATTCATTTTTAGTACTTTCAGTTGGTCCTGTTCACATTTCATAACTTTCCATTTAAGAAAGTTCAATTTATTAAAGTTTCACTATACAGTATTAAGTCTAATGTATAAAATACTGGACAAAATATGAAAACTGCAGTTGTCATGAATTTATACAAATATCTCTTTTTTTACCCTCTATTCTTCATCTGGAACCCAAGTTACTAAAACTCAAAAGGGACTTGCTTAGAGGGTACCCAGGTGAGAACAGCTTTAATGTAGTAGTAATTAAGCTAATAGGCTCTTAGTTCTAAAATGAAGGAATTTGGCAACTGATAGACATTCCCTCTTCTTAGATTTCCTTATAGACTACTAATAGAAGAACCCTGATTTTCCTGTAGAACAAATTTATCCTTTCAGTTTGATAGACAATGTCCTGGCTCTAATAATTTTCCTCACTTTTTAAGTAGTCATTGAAAACCTCTCTCCTTGTCTCAAGCAGCTTTTGTTAAATTCCTTCATAAAATCTCCTATGAGGGATAACAAGAACATGAGACCATGTTATACTATTCTATTTAATCAGAATAAAATTACAATTGATACGAATATGCATAGCAAACTGTAGATAATTATATACTTTTACAAAACAATTCTTAATAAACTTATAAGGTCTCAAACATTCAAACATTCTACTTTGGTGTTAGTAATGTTAATTATAGTCTTTTATGTTTGTTCTGCACGTTAGCTGAATTCCTCTACCCACCTCCTTAAAACTCCCACTGCTCTTATAATCTGTGCTCCCATTTTCTTTCCTTTCCAGCATGAGTTAATGGCTCTGAGATGCTGTGCATTCTTTGTTCCCTTTTTCATAAAAATCAGCTTTCTTTCCTGCCTCTTTGAACTTACTCTTTACGTTCTTTCTTCTAGTTCATTGCTATCATTTGAATGTGACATCCCAAGTTCATGTGTTACAAACTTAATACCCAATTTCATATGTTAATGATATTTGGAAGCCCTACAGAGGTAATCAGAATTAGATAAGGTCATTTGGGTGGGATCACCCCTCCTCCATCCAATGATGGCATCAGTGGCTTTTTAAGAGAAAAGAGAGAAAGACCTGAGCTAGCAAATTCACCTTTCTCACCATGCAACACCCTTTGCCATGACATAATGCAATAAGAAGGCCATTATCCAATACAGAGGAGATGTCAGGACCATGTTCTTGAACCTTCAAGTCTCAGAAATGTGACAAATCAACCTTTATTCTCTATAAATTACCCAGTCGCTGCTATTTTTTATAGCAAAAGGGAATAGAGTAGGATAACCTTTTTATATCTTTTTTCATTAAGTCAAACTTATTCTATCTTCTAATCATGTAAATGTCATTAAGTGAAACCTCACAAGTGAAACTATTATCCAAACATAAGAAAAGTAAAATTGATAACATGTATTCTGTTCGGAGAATGAAAAAATACAAATTTCTTAATCCAGATAAATTAAAAATGTTAATTCACACAAAGCAGAAATAAGGCAAAAGAAAAAAATAAGCCAATAAACAAATCTTAGTAAGAATCAAACCAATGCAAACTGAGACAAATTTAATTGTTACTCAGCAGCCAAAAAGAAACAAGTTAATGCACAGTTTACTTAGGTTTAGAAGAAAGGGCATAACCTTCTGGAGACAATCATGTTCCACAACTTAGTATTTCTTGCCTAGGAATTTATCCTAAAGAGAAAACCAGTTAAACTGTGCACAGTGGAACACTCCCATAATCCCAGCTATTTGGGAGGCTAAGGCGAGAGGACCACAAGTTCAAGGCCAGCATGGGCAACTTATCGAGACCCTGTCTCAAAATTAAAAATAATAAGGGTTAGGGATGCAGCCTACTTGTAGAGTGTTGCTAGGCTTAATCCACCAAAAAAGAGAAGAAGGAAAAAAAGAGAGACAAAGTCAATCAAATTCACAAAAATGTATGTAAAACAAAAGTATTCAGCACAACTATGATTAAATAATGAAAATTTTAGCATCAAAATGCTTATTTCCAGATAATGGTACATTCCTAACAGAAACAATACAGCCTATAAAAAGTATACATATCTGCATATCTGCCAGCAGAGAAGGTATCCCAAAATAAGCTAAGGTACTGTAAAACAGCAGGTATTTTATAATCCCAGTTATATAAAATCTTGAATCTATTTTATGCTTTATATTTTTCTTCTTTAAATGGAGAGGGGGTTACCAAAATACTGACTCTAAAATATGTGAACTGAAGATATTTCCCCTCTCTTTTCTCTTTTAATTGAGGTAAAATTCACACAACATAAAATTAATGTCTTCTTTTAAACATTTCTGTATTATATTTGAAGTTTTTACAATTATCATTAACTGTTTTGTAAACAGAAAAAAACAATTATAAAAATAAAACAGCATAAATAGAGCAACTATATACTAATGTTAGGCATAGAAGATATATCCACTCATTTCCAGCTTAAAATAATTCTACATTTTATAAAATGCTTCCTTTAACAATAGCAGCCCTAGTTTATTCTTATATTTATTTACAAATTACCACCTAACAAGTAAATTGAGGGCAAGGAATATTATTAGAATAGTTTTAGTTGATGTGGTCAATTTAATATATAACCAACTCAAAATGAAGAATTTCTTCTAAACAAAAAGAAAGAATAAACTTTATTTTCAAAAATTTGATTCATGCAAAATATTTCACACACATAACTAATGTGAATGGCAAGGTATACAATTATAGAAAATACTTACCAAAACAGCCCAGTTGTTTGTATGGCCACTTCTAAAGAATTGTTCTGCTTGATCCTATCAGTCAAAAACAGCAAAATTATTAAGAAAAAGCTCCAATTTTCTAGATAAAGACTGTTAATGGACAGTGAAAACTCATGGACTTTAATCAATATATGGAAGTTTCTGAAGATACTAGTGTTTGACCTTATGAACAAAATAAAGAACCAAACTTAAATAGAAATTAGTATAAGATACTATATTGAGGGGGGGGAAACCTTAATTTAAGATACTATGTGGGGGTTGGGAGGAATCCCTAGTTTAAAATACTATGGAAAAATAACCTTGAACTAGAAATCTGGAGATCTAGATTTCAGTCTTGCTTGAGACTAATTAAGCAAAGTAACCTTAATTAAGATGCTTGACTCCTGGACTGAGGATATAGTTTAATGGTAGAGTCCTTGCATACCATGCATCAGGTCCTTACATCCTCAGCATCACCAAACAAACAAACAAACAAAACACACACAAAAAAAAAAAAAGGAGGAGGAGGAGGAGGAGACCTCCCTTGATACTCACTCTCTTTCTATGTGAAATCAAAGGATGCCAAATCTACCATAGCGCCATTTTACTGGTCTATAAAGATACGTGTGCAAGAGCCTCTGCTTTAAAAAATTATTAATACTGATTCAAATGAAAGTTTATTATAGAAATCACATTTTACTCTTCCCATACCCTGAGAACTATTAGAGTGTTCTTTACAGAGAATATAGAATATCTGTTCAAAACATTTTACAAAATTATCGTTCAAAACTGCAACCTCACCAGAAGGATCACTAGTTCAAGGGCAGCCACAGCAACTTAAGGAGACCCTGACTCAAATTTAAAAAACAGAAAGGGCTGGGGATGTGGCTTTGGTGTAGAGAGAGCATCACTGGGTTCAATCCCCAGGTCTAAAAACGAAAAAACTGCAATTTCACCTCATCATTTTCTTTACCTTATTTTCCTCATTATTATATACCATTAATTCATTTACTATGCATATTATTCTTTTCCCATAGGTTGTAAGCTCCAGTAGGACAGATGCTTTAATTATTTTTCAAAAATTGGCACACAGTAAATTTTGAGTAATTTTTTACTTTTTTATTGGGAGAAGGGGCATGTAACTAGGGGTTGAACCTAGGGGTGCTCTACTGCTGAATTACATTTTTTTTTTTTTTTTTTTGGTGACTCAGGGTCTCACTAAATTGCCCTCTGGAGTAGCTCAGGTTATTGACATGTATTACCATACCAGGCTTTGAATAGGTATTTTTTGAATGAATACATAGTACACATGCCTTTACTAACAGTGAACAAAGCAAGAATCCCCTAGAAAATTGAAACTACATGAATGATGGGTTCAGAATAAGAAACTACTACATAAAAGTTATAACATAAAACTGCAAATTTCAAAATCTCCTTCTAGATTGTACTCTGATAAGTTCTCCATTAAACTCATCACTATGCAATGAAGATGTTTATGCCAAGAACTCCTCAAATATTAATATTTCACTTTTAGTAATATCATAGTTTTTAATTCCCATGAGAAAAAACTCCCTACTTCTCCAACCAAAACAATCACTACTCAAATTTCTCACAGAAGTCTTTTTAATCATTTAATAATCATTGCTGCTCATTTACTAAAATCTCTGCAATTATGTTCACTCTTTAATATCGGTCACAATATTAAGTCAGACAGATGTGTTGATGCATCCATAAAAACTGGTGAATTTGGTGGGGCTGGGGCTAGGGCTCAGCAGTAGCACCTTGGCCTGGCGTTTGTGAGGCACTAGGTTTGATTCTCAGCACCGTGTATAAATAAATAAAGATCTATCGACAACTAAAAGTATACTTTTTTAAAACAACTGAATTTTTGTTTTTGTTTTTGCTGGGGGATATTATTGTAGGACTATTTGTTTTAAAATATTTTATCTCAAATGCAGCCAAATCTTCCTCATATGCTTTTAATTTTCCATTCAGTTTTTTAAAACTGTGAATGATTTTTCTCCTGTCTTGATTCTACATATAACAATTCATATCTTTCCTGTCAAAACTTCATTCACTACCAATTCCTACTATGTGCTGGGCACTTTATTCAAACTCACCAAAATATTTGATTGAACACATACTGCCATGTACAGTCAAAATGCTTAGGTTCAAATCTGGCTCTATTACTCACTAGTTGTATAAATTTAGGAAAGTCATTTAACTTCTCTGCCTCTACTGTCCTATCTATAAATGGCAATAGCATTATTTAACTCACCAAATGCAAAAATAGTGATTAGAACATAATGCACAACAAATATTAGCTGTTTTAATTATGTGGCTAACAGGAAAATTTCAGGGAGAATAAAATAAAAGTTCTACTCAAATATGTATGAGTAGAATATATAATTTTTCCTCCCCCTACAAACCCTTGTCTATACTATAGTTGCCCATACTATAGTTGCCCATCCTATAGTGGACGAAGTATTGGCTTAGGAATTTGAAGATCTCAGCTAAACTATGGCTAGGTGAGATTGAGGTAAGTCATTTAGCTCTTTAAATAACTTTTCTAATGCAGAAAATGAGACTTGACCCAAAAAATCTCTAATGCACTTTTCAGCCCCAATATTATTACTTCATTAAGACTTCAGTGAAAATGTTGAGGTAGTAACTCTAATATTTTAGACAATATATTCATTGTAAAGTTATTTAAACTATGTGTAGTTAATGAACCTCATATGTTCCAGGTACCACATAATGTACAGTGATATGAAAATCACTAAAAAGCATGCTGTTTCTCTTAAGAATTCCAACATTTAATAATGAAGACAAGCATACAAACACATCACTTTACCATGCAACATTCATTAATTCATCACATTCATTGGACATCGTGTACCAATCACTGCCCTGAGTGATTAGAATACTATAATGGGCAAAAATAGCCATAGTACTTGCCTTCAATAGGATAGACACATACTAAGCATAAATAAAAATGAACTATAACTCCTATAAAGCAAAGAAAATCTCTATTTTAAAAAAAAAAAGTATAATATGGGGACCTGGCAGAAAACATTTCCCTAAAGAAATGGCATTTGGGTTAATCAAAAGATGAAGAAAGGAGGGAAGACTATTCCAAACAGAGGAAATATGGAACAATGGCAGAAGAGAGCTAAAGGTTTGAGAAACTGAAAGAAGTTTAGTATAACTAGACATTTGAAAAGAAGAAACAGCAAAAGAATTGAAGATGTAAGCAGGGGGATCTATGGGTCTTGATGAAGATTTTTTAAAATCTGAATTATTTAAGATTTGTTCTTTACCTTTAGAATAGCAGAACAGCATTAATGGATATAACAATGACATTATCAGATGTGGATTTTAAAAAGTTATTCTGGCTGCAACTTGAAAAACAGATTGGAAAAAAGACTGACTCCTGGCAAACCACTTAGAAAATTACTGTACCCTAAGTGAGAAGTGTGGAATAACAGGACAAAAAATGCATGTTTTGGGGGAACTGGCTCAAAAAAACCAAAAGTCCAATGTTTTCTCTGATAGACACATGCTAATTCAAAATAAGGGGGGTGGTTAGGGAAGAATATAGAGTTACTTTGGATTCCATAGAAGGGAGTGAAGGGAAGGGAGGGGTTTGTGGATAAGAAGGATAGGAGAATGAATCTGACATTATTATTCTATGTACATACATGACTACATGGCTGGTGTGATTCTGCATCATGTACAACCAGAAGAATAAGAAATTATACTCCATTTATGTATGATGTGTCAAATGCATTCTACTGTCATGTATAACTAATTATAACAAATTTTAAAAGATAGAAAAAAGAAGAAACAAGTAAAAAAAAACATAAAGAATACATGGGCTCTAATGGATAACTGCTATATTAGCTGAATGTACCAATAACAATAGTAAAGGGAAAAGTAAGAGATAGGGAAAGGTTCTACAGAGTTGTTTTTACTGAAACTTAATAAAGGAACAGACAAAAGAAATTGGAGGTATAAAACCTGAAACTGGGAAAAAGCACAGCAACTGTGCAGCTACAAAAAACAACAATGGGGTCAGCCACAATGGCACACACCTGTAGTCCCTGGGATTCAGGAGGCTGATACAGGAGAATCACAAATTTAAAACTAGCCTCAGCAACTTATGGAGATCCTGTCTCAAAGTTAAGGAAAAAAAAAAGGGTGGGGAGCGCTGGGAATGTAACTCAGTATTTAAACTTCCCTGGGTTCTGGGATGGAACCTAACTGGGAAAAAAAAAAAAATAGGATTTAATGTAAAGGACAATAGAAGCCTAAAGGAAACAAAATAAGTTACAATAGTATAGACAAGAAACGACCATAGCCTGAATTACACCAGTGAAACTACAGAGGTAAAGGCACTTATAAGAATTCAGAACACAAAATTTAGCGATAATTGGGACTCCCGGGTGTCTAGTTTACCAGCAACACTTTTGGGCTACGAAATACAAGAGAAAAGAGATGTTTAGTTTTTCATTGCCTGCCTTTCTAAAAGGAGATAAAACTTTGGACACTGATTTCCAAACGTCTGCTGACTATCTGGGCCCCTTAATCAGCTGAATATGCAAGTCTGAAAATGATGCTAGAGATCAAAATTACAGAACTGAAGAACCATCTGAGTACAGTGTTAGTAAACACATTAAAGAAGGGTGGGGAGGGGGCGACGCCTGGGAGGCTAGTATAAAAAACAGTACCCATTGGACAGTTACCAAAAGAGCCTTGTAGCGGGTGTGGTGGAGCAAACCTATAATCCCAGCGGGTCTGGAGGCTGAGGCAGGAGGCTCAAAAGTTCCAAGCCAGCCTCGGCAATTTAGCGAAGCTCTAAGCAATTTAGCGAGTCCTTGTCTCAAAATTTAAAAAACTAAAATAAAAAGGGATGTGGATGTGGCTCATTGATTTCGAGTCCCTGCTTCAATCCCTGGTCCAAAAAAAAGAAAAAAGAAAGAAAAGAAAAGAAAGAAAGAAAGAAAGAAAATCCTATTAAGTAGGAGGGAAGTAGGTGCTGCACTCCGGTGTTGACATTCACCTGCCAGGAAGGACTGCACACACGTAGGAGTAAAGGCAAGTTCTACTCTTATTTCCAAGGATTTGATTCCTTTCAATGGCCATTTTTAAAGACTAAAACTGACCAGACACGGTCCTGTCCGGTTCCCAGGGACACCCTCCCCACCCGCTAGCGCTGGTGAGGTTGAATATTCCAGGAGGCTGCTGTCAAACTACTGTGTATAGGACATCTGCTACGTGCTCGCGGCCACCACACAGCCGTCCTCCTACGGCCAACTCATCAAAAAGCCCAATTCCTACCTCGAGCTGACTAGCTGCCAACCTTCCGAAAGACAAGAGCAACAAGGCGGCCAGGGCAGCCGCCAGCCGGCCGGGAAAGCAGGCGGCGGCCATGCTTGCCGGCTCCGCACTTCCCGTAATGGAGGGGCGGGGCGCGTGCCGTAAAGCAGCGCTGCGGGTGCGCTTGCGTTTGATTTGTTGCGACCTCCTGGAGACCCGCCCTCCGCCCGCTTTTAGGACAGCTTTCTCAATCAAGTTTTCCCGGGAAATGAAGCGAGATTACTGGGGGATGCTGGGTTTTTAATCTTTAACTGCGTTTTCGATTTTTGTATTATAAAGTAGATGTAATATTTAAGGAAAAAAATGAAAGGGGAAAGAACCTATGAATTCACGAATTTTAAAAATCGATTTCTCTTTTTGCATAGTACTGCCAGTTCTTGAGAGTATATGAAGCAGGTTTATGGTGGGAAGAAAAGTGTTTTGCCACAAAAAAACATAACAGTAAATTTCAAGGGGAGATATGGGTGAGTGCTGCAATTCAGAGACTTGAGGCCTACTAGTAGAAGGCTGTGAATATGTTTTTCTTCTTTAGTAAATTCTCTGATTTTAGAGCTAAAACCTAGCTGAAAGCAACAAAGATCACGTAGCTATGTGCCACCATTCTCTATATATACACATTCAATTTTAAATTCTTGTAGTATGACCATGGTTACAAGATGCTTCATAGTCCTTACAATTTTAATATTTAATGGTAACATAAAATTCCATCCATTATTGATGCTTCAACTAAAGAAGCAATTGCCCCTCTATTGAGCAATACAGCTATTGTAAGTTTTACTGTGGGAAAATAATATTATAAAAAATATTTTTTACACTTGGTATTCTATCTGTTGAGTTATTTTCTTTTTGTAATTTTCCTCAAATAAGAGTCGTGGGTCAAAATATTTAAAAATGTCTTTAACAAGTACTCAGATGTTGCTTTCCAAAGTATAAAAGCTTGCAATGCTATCAGAATCACAGGCTAACACCAAATTACACCATTTTTTCCTTTAAACTCCTTGATACAAAATGTTACCTCAAGGTTGTTTTACTTCTGATTCTTTGATTACTGTCAAGGTCTTGTTATTGTTTCCAAACTATCTGTGTGTCCTCTGATATAAAGTTTATGTAAAACATAAATGTCTTTATAAAGCAGTATCATTAACTCTTGCAGTATTTTATGCTTTTGCTTTGCCCATTCCCTGTCTCTTTCCCTTTTGTTTCATTTGCTATTGTACTTTATGAGAGACTTAATGCTAATTACTCAAATTTAGGTTTTATATTATATGAAGCCTAGAAAGTTAATACACTATCAAGAATGCCTTTCATTTACTCATTAATTCAACAAAAACTTATTGAATGATGATAATATACAAGCAAGAAATACTTAGAACTTCTTGCACTAATGAACCTCACATTCCTGTAAGAAAAGCAGACAAAGAAAAATGAATACAATAAGTTCACATAATGATACAAATAGGAGAAAGTGATAGAAAATGGAGAAAGGAGACACTCTTTCAGTGGTGTGGTCAGGAAAAACTAAGGCAACTGTTTTAGTCAACTTTTTCTCTGGTATAACTAAAGATATGACCAGAGGAGGAAAAGTTTATTTGAGGGCTCATGGTTTCAGAGGTCTTAGTCCACAGAAGGCCAGCTCCATTCTTCAGTGCTTGGGGTGTGGCAGAGGAAAGCAGCTCACATCATGGTGACCAGAAGGCAGAGAGAGAGACTCCACTCACCAGATACAAATATATACCCAAAGCCACACTCTACCACTTCAGTTAATCCCTGTAGGGGATTAAATCACTGATTGGGTTAAGACTCTTACAACCCAATCATTTCTCTGAACTTTATCATTGTCTCACATGTAAGCTTTTGGGGGACACCTCACATCCAAACCATAATAGTAACATTTGATCCGAGACCCAAGTGGTGAGAAAGAGCTAGAAAGGCAAATCTCTGAAGACAGCAGATTTCTAATGTTTAATTTCTTGTTTTCTTTTAATTTTGTGTTTAACTCTTAGTATCTGGAATATACTTTGGTATGTGCTATAAGTTACTGGTGAATTATCTATTGCTATGTACAGGCCACTCAGAACTTTGTGGCATGTCCTCAGAAACACAGGGTGATGACCAGTACAGGGAGACATGAGTTTATGGGGGCCGGAAGGCAGAGAGAGAGACTCTCTGCTATACCATCCGGTCACTACTTTTATCAAAATGGCATCTAAGAAAATTTTCTACATACTCCTTACCTTTCTTTTGTCTCATGGTACTCCTTTATTAAGTTCTATTAAGTATAGTATTTCTGGGTATTCTGTTTTCTTTCAATAAAACATGTCTATTTTGAGGCTATTTAGTTTTAAAAGTAATGGGTTTAACACCTTAATCATTAGCTCTTGGATTAGAATATTCATTGTCATATTAAAAGAAGTAGATTTCTATTCCTCTTTCTTCTCCATACCCCCCTCCCCCCCA